TTCTGACATGATGCTGGTCGATGCGTAACGCTAGGCGCTCGTACGGTAGTTTATGTGTTGTCAGCCTGTCTTGCGGAGAACCTTGTCGATGATGTGCGACTGATGAAGGGGCTGGCAGGTCTCCATCCTGCCGACTCGTGTGATGCAATGATGAATGGGCGACGTGGCCTGGCTCATACGCCATGTTTATTCCACTCTCACTTTTTCCTTCTCGGCTTCTACTTCTAACTCCTAACCATCACTACGTTCTTACGTTATATACACACACAGTTAAAATATATATATAGTTAAAAAGAATGGAAAGTTGGGCGGTTGGTTTGAAGACATTCTTAGAAACATTTCGGCCTTGGAAACATCACCTCGCTTTCCGTTTTCTCATTCACTGTGTGCGTGCCGAAATGTTTCCAAGAATATATATAGTTGTCGGACTGCGCCATCCTCAGGGAGAAATAAAACACAATGCCCATATGGTAGGCCGGTTGTTCTTATTCTTCTCCATTTTCCTCTGGTTCGTGCTAGGTAAGCGCGAGAACCACAGCTCTGTTGTTGCTGCTTTTCATTACTATATATAATATATATATATATATATATATATATATATATATATATATATATATATATATATATATATATATATATATATATATGCGTGTGAGAAAAATATTGTTTTCACGTTATTGCATGTAATGTTGGGCTTACGTACTATGTTAACTTACCATCTTCCGATCTTGCGGTTCTTAGGGTGTGTTCCCCGAGTATTCACATTAAAGAAAAATACAGATAAGCACTTTATCATAGGTATATCAAAAGATCATGTTTCAAACTTGGTTCATTCAATGGTCACTGACACGTTAGTCACTTTAATAAAAGTTCTCAGATGCAGTTTTTTTCCGGCAATATAGAAGAAAATGGTTAACAAAAGAATGATCGATATGTGTACACTGCAAGTACAAATCTAAATGAACAGCCGTTCACCGCGACGGGAACTCTTCAGTATTATTCAAGACTTCTAGTGTACTGTAAAGCACTATACACCACGAAGGTCCACCAGAATGCAGTTTGAATGCTCACTCACCTGCTACGTGCGTCGAACGCGCCGGCGCAAAGAAATCGACCAAAAGTATCGCTGCTGCTACCTTGGTGGCAACTCGCGCGCTTTCGCGATCGGTACCGCACACCTATCCAGGCAGCCATGCCTGCGGACAAGCTGCCGCTGGACAAACTGGTGGAGATTTCAGTTATAAAGCCCACACGTTCTCTGTTCCCACACGTTCTCTGTACCAGATGCCCTTTTCAACTGCTTGTCCCTCTAGAAACGGGGCTAGTGGTGCTGCGCTTGACAGCCCGTGCCTTTGGTTAATGTATAAATGCATTTTCGGTTTCCCGAATGAAAACCACCACTTACTTGAATCTATGCTCATGCATCTTGTAGTTTCCTGGAAACCGGCAACATTTAACAATCGGTTTTTGTCCCTCCGTAATCGGTGTTCCGCTGGTTTTTTTTTTTTTATGCATTTACTAACATGAGGCCCCCCCCACCCGACACTTTTTACTATACCTGCTTGTTTTATATTTACTTTGTTTGAACGATTGATCGATTTGATCGATTGATTGATCGATTGATTCACTGCCAGCCTGACTGATCCGACTCAACTGGTCAACAGTGCTGGCCACTGAATCATCAGTGATTGGCTTTAGCTTATTCTAGAGACTATCTATGAAGATAGTGAACTAACCAATGCAGATATGTTGTCAATGATAGCGAAAGAATATGTGAAAAGGTGCGAAGGCTGCAAAAGGCGCTCTGCTCCCATTTTTCCAACAATTAGTCTGCAGAAGCAGCAGTGCCTCTAATTTGTGTACACTTTTAACAATTTGTATCAAATGGCAATAGCAGGATACATTAAGCTTTGGGTGAATTGAAAGTAGTGCACAATAAATTTCCTTTATTTAACGTCATTTCGCAGTGTGTTATGGTATAAGACCATATTGCTGAAGGCACACACCGTTCAGCGAGTCACTTGACGTGCCACTTACCGCAAGCCATGTGAAAAGTATAATTTGTCTTTGCTCCAAATGAAGGTCGCATAAGCGAATTTGCATTTAATTCTGACTTCATTCTATTACCATGAAAATGGAGCATGAGTGACTTCACAATAAATAGATATTTAATTACAATTGAACAAATTAAGATAATATTTTTGTTGTGATAAAATATCGGTATCGATTTGATGCATATACAGACAGTTTTTATTAGGTGGTGTCTGAAAGAACTAAGAAATCACATAACAGTAAAACAGTCTTTTATTCACTTTCCAACTTGTTACGTTTTTGTCTTCACTGTAAAGCAGGTCTTTTTCACTTGCAATGACTAGCATAGTGCCATCATATAAACTACTGATCAAATTAGGTATAAAAACAAGATCACAAGTCTCCAGGCAAAGTTTTGAACACGTGAGTTCTGCAAGGAGTCTCACTAAAACACTAAAAGGTTAAAATCAGAACAAGAGTTTGCCACACGTTGTTGGCATTTGCAAAGAATCACAATGGGCTCATGAGTTTGTGAAAAGCAGTTGACGCATGATTCCTGTGACCCGAGAAGCTTCAATTGTTGATACATGACCACAACGCCGTGAATGTTGCAATAATGTTCCGTTAATGTTATGGCAACAATGTGCGCTGGTAGTGAAGAGACCATGTCATTCTAATGAAGGTAGCCGCAGTTCCCACACGAGTTTCACACACGCAGGTCAGCAGTGTCTTGACACCACAGGCTTGTGCAGTGATCTTGAATACAGCATCACTGAACATCTTGTGTAGAGCATCATTGAACATCTTGTGCTCTAGTCCACATTCCTGCACACCAGCACCACACCATGCGCTCAGGCTAGAATGCGACTAGGCAGCATTCTGGTCAGCAGGCCCTTGAAGTGACAGCTTTCAAGATTTAAAAAATCTGGATAGCTACAAGACCTATTACTGAAATGTTAATTCATAGGGTTTCCTAATTATACGCTAGAGGGAAATCTGGTGCTAGTGTCTATAGGAGGTTCGGCACTTTAGCCAGCATGGGAATACATAGATTTGACTAAGCTTCATTCTTCAGAAGATGCTCAGCAGTTCCACTTCACCACCTTTCAAGGCCGACAAATTGTCGCCCGCACACGGATCCATTCTTTTATCCGAAAGAAACGCCAGAACACAACAAAAACTGTGCAACTCTTTGCCTTCAAGAGTTGAAAGCAATAGTGATATCCCATTTCTAGTGCATACTTGAACCACTTAGTGCACACTTTAGAGAATGGTGTAACTCGAGAAGTTTAAATTGTGATTTGCTACAATGTAATCGACAAACTCGAAAGTGGCTTGTGTCAATGAAGCTTTTTCATATGGCTGCACTCTGCGTAATGAGTAGCATGCTTTGAACCACGAGCAATTATGAATGTGAAATCTTTTTGAACTTGCTGTGAAACCACTACTTGGTCTTGAGGGAATACTCCTAGTAATGTGTGTGCCTTTTGTAATGAATGGCCGGCTTTAAACCGCGAAATTGTATTGATAATCATGTGTTCTGATGCCCGATGGCAATGCACGTTTGTACCGCACCATATTACTGCGATAATACATGTTGTATTGTGAAGCCTGTAAACAGGACGTGTGTGTTTATAAAACATGAACACGTTTTTCTCTGCATTTCTAGGCAGTGGAACTATTTTCACTGTATTTCCAAGCAGATACATGACAGTTGTGGGGATGTTAACACTCCCTGTAAAGTTGTTTGAGCCTCAAGGTGCATGTGTCTCGTGCATAAGCCACACTTCGGGTTCACAACTACTGTGCGGTAGGAGGCATCGTGCTCGCGAGCGTTTGTTATCGCCACCATCATTATCATGGTTAGTGCGTAGTGCCAGCAGTGACACCTGGCGGCAGGCCTGGGTGGCGGCGCCTAAGATGTGAGCGGTTCTCTTTGGCGTGTGGTGGTTGGAGCGAGCGGTTGTGGGTCCTCGGTGTATGGCACTGCGGGCTGTGCGCCAGGCACCCTCGTGGTAAGTCAAGCGTTGGCAAAGCTGCCTTGAGTGTGTTCTTGTGTTTGTTATGTTGTTGAGTGTTATGTCATTTTGGGTAAGACTGTTATAACGTGCGGTTCACTTTTGATAAATTAATTCGGCTGACGATGTCGTCAATATAAAAGTAGTTAAATAAATTCATGTTGTTTTGGTTCGGTCCGACCGTGCCTACTGTCTCCGTTGACTTCAAGTGCGTTGCACTCTCCACATCAAAACCCCACACTAACATGTGTGCCATAAGGTGCAAACAACTTTACAGGGGGTGTTAGCACCTCCACACAGTATGATATAACACCAGCTTGCTATGCAAATGGCCTGGGTTCAATCCTCACTCGCACCCATAAATTTATTTATTTATTTTAATTGCACTCTTATTTTTTCGGTCAGCTAAAGGACGATTTTTTGCACACAACCAATCATGCCCACGCTGACACATGCCTGAATTTCCGTGAAACGAGCATTTTAATGCTATTGTATTAATAAACAAAGCCAGAAGTGTATTTAAAACTGCAAGCAGGAAGAGTAGGCAAATCCATGTGCTAGCCATCATTCCCATGATGGCTGAATGATTGAAGCACCAGAGTACCCTCTAAAAAATATTGTAGAAAACTACATGTTAGGCAACAGATTTTGCAGCAGTTACCGTATTTACTCGCGTAATCCTCGCACTCTCATAATTCTCGTACCCCCCACATCGCCCAACAAAAATACGATTTTTTTTCCTCGAGTAATTATCGCACCCCCGAAAATTGCCGCAACAATGTCATCTGCTCGTCCCAGCCATTGATGACGATAGCGGGCGCCATCTCTTAAGCATCACGCGAACTATTATTGCACGGAGATTCAATCCAATCCAAGCTAAAGCGGCAAGTACGCGGTTGTGGCATGTTTTGTATGTTGTGTCGGTAATCTTGTCATGTTATGGTGCGATACTGAAGCTACACGGCTGCTTTCAAGTTGTGAGTGATTGATCATGTACTAAACAACAGCAACAGGGCCGCCGGTAGGCCCTTCGGAGTCGACAAGTTTTGTGTTCGTTACTGGTGACAGAAGCTGAAAGCCACCAAGACGCATTGAGCCTGTCGAGTGCATAAGACTGGAATTGAAACTTTATTTCTTCAGAAGAAAACTGTGGACGATTCTGCTAAATAGCCATCAGCCCAATACTAACGTCCTACTCTTACCTTTTAAGGGCTTCTGTTGAGTGACGAAGGCCACCGCTACGCCCGCAACGCCCACAAGCTTTGCGTATGGTATTCTAATTCTCGACTATTTGCTAGCACTTTTTGTGTCTCAAACAAATCTTGCCTTGTGTTGAGCCTCCGCTTTTATTTTTGAGGCGAGTTTTAAGTAGTACTTCTCAAAGCTTGCTGTTAGTTGCTGGTGTGAGAACCCCGATTTGCAGCCACTTCTTTTTCTTCTCCGCTCTGTACGTTTTCGTGGAAAGTTTCCCTCGCGTAATTCTCGCACCCCCAAACTTTGCATCGGTTTTCCGCCAAAAAAAGTGTGAGGATTATGCGAGTAAATACGGTATATGGGCAGGCACATCTTCATGGCTAATGCACATTCGAGGGCAAGGAGGTGAAAACTGTTGTGGCAGAAAAACCCCGAGAAATGCTGCTACTGCCTAGTGCCTCCGTGGCTATACACTCAAATTTTGACATTAAGAATTATCAATTATAAGAAAGTATGTGAAGAAGACTTGTCATAGAGAGTGTTACGAATGCATGTCTATAGCCAATGTTTGGATACAGTCAAACCCACTTTTAAAAATAATCAAGTGCCTTGAAAATTTCGTTATAATTGATAATTGCGATTATAACGTTGAAGGGGATGAAAAAAAGCGAAGTAGGGAATGGTAGGCTGTTGTGAAAAACTATACTATTGGGCGGGTTATGCCAACAAACATCACTTATAAAGATGACAAAGCTGCCGATTTTTTAGACATGCTTGAAAATTCAGACACTTTGGTGGAACTGCCACAAATCCCATAGTGGTATTGTATGACAACACCTGAACTACCAGATGGTTTACCAAGTGTCAACTTTTTACTCAATCCGCATGTCCGAAGGTGCATTAACAGACGTCACTGCTGCATACAAGCAGTAGCGGATGTCACAAGTCAGCTTAAATTCTTCATTTTGTTTTTCTTGACATTGATTCAGCCTTCTGTTGCCTTTTGGCACAAACAAGCAGAATTCATTGTTATAACTGATAATGCGGCATGTGGGCATTGCTGTAAGCCGGTTATTTCTCCATAAAAACCTACATATGGTGCAGTAGCTTATCATTGTTATAACCGACATATTGTTAAAACCGGTATTGTTATAAGTGGGCTTGACTGATAACGAAGTATTTTTGCAGCAGACGTTACACTGTTAAAATGAAATTTGAGTATGCTCAAACCTGACATAATGAACACAGATACAACCAATTATATGATATAAGTGAAGGATAGTTTTGTCATAAATACAGTGTTATAAATATGCAATTCAAATAAATTTTTGAATATAACAAAGTATTTTCATGGCAGATTCGGCTTTATAATGAGGTACAAGTGTAAAACATTCATACATCGATACAACAAATTATCAGTTATACCTGTGAATTATTGTTTTATCATACATGCAGGGTTACAATTATGCATTTATAATGAATTTATAGATATATCAGTTTTTTTATGGTAGATATAACTGTTATAAAGTGGTTTGAGCGTAGACTACTCAAATTTCAAATAAAGAACACAGACATAACGGATTATAGGTTAAAACTAAATGGAGGAAAGGTTTGTGATAAATACAGCGTTACAAATATGCATTTACAACCAACTTTTTGATATAACAAAATATTTTAATAGCAAATGTGACCGTTATAATGAGGTATGAGACTAAAACAGTCAAACCTCGATATAACGAACAAGGATAGGATGAATTATTGGTTATAACAAAGTGAAGAACAGTTTTGTCATAAATACAGTGCTACGAATAATGAAGATAATGAAGTGTTTTTGTGGCATATTCGACATTGTTATAATGAGGTTTGAATGTATTATTCACAAGAGACTTCTTGCCATAATATTTTGCTTGTATACTTTGTTATGAGATTCCTTTGATGCTAAGCGGGCATGCACGAAGGTTTGCAGTCGCACTTTTTTTAAGCTGCTTCTACAATCACTCCCACAGAGATCATTGTGATTGGGAATGTTTACACTGTAATTTAGTAGCCTGGCCACCACTTCTTTGCCTTGCTTTTACTATCAGCACCTACATTCTTGAAAAATACAGCGGGCCTTATGAGCACACGCTACAAGACACACAGTTGAAACAACCAACACAAATAATCCCAACCCACTAGAGGAAAAAATAAACCAGGCCTGTGCAGAGTGCATAGTAAAGTCACAGCAAAAGCTAGAACAGCTTTTCTGGAGCCTTTTTCTTTAAACACTCTTGGGGCAACTTCTACAGGTACACTTGCACGGCACCCACTACACCATAAATCATGATTTTTGTGGGGTAAAGAAGCGTGGTACCCGCTGCACACCTGTAAGGCATTGTGTACACTTTGTTGATGCTGTGGCTCATGAATTACGGCTGAGCCTTTTGTAATGGGTTGGAAGATTCAATGACCTTATCGTTATGCAATTTGCATAGTTTTAAAGGTGAACATCTTCAACGATATCTATCTGGCTGGGTAAACCTTCATACTAATAATATAAACTTTTAAGCCAACTTATACAGTCGAAACCCACAATAACAAAACGCCGCGAGTACGAAATCCCCACGGCAACGAAATATTTCCGGATCCCCGGTGAACGTTCATAGAAGCCCACGTATTACGTATCTCGCGGCAACGAAATGTTTTTGGACAGCGATCCCGCATTAACGAATTTTCTACCACGGTTCGGGCCTTATTTTACCCTCCCGCCAAAGGTCAAATGTCAAAAATATGCTCACATGCGTGTTATGCGCACTCAAAATTTGTAAACGTCTGCTTGTGCCACGCTAGCGTGGGTACCGCCATTTTTGGTTACTTAAGGGGGGACGCGGCTTTGGGATCGTGAAAAATGGCAAAAAAATAGATTTTTTCAAAATCAAGTTTTCAGTTTCTGGAACCCTTTTTCTACCCAATTCCAAAATATCTACACTGAAAACAGCACAGAAGTGCTTCGGAAAATTCATTTCACCCACCTAAGTAGCGAACCTTTTTCTGGGAATCGCGAGAAAACAGCAATTTTCAAAAAATTATGGCTTCGCGATGGCGGGGTAGGGAGCCGGCTTCTTGGGCTCATCGGAAAGAGCATTTCTCCGCGTTTAACTTTCCCACCTCAGCTGGCTCCTCCCTTTAAAAACAAAAGCACAAAAAGCAAATGTTTGAAGGTCGTTTCCAGGCCCTTGATTGGCTATGGTCGCCATGTTGCCTCAGCTCGCCTCGCCATTGGCCCGATGCTCGCTCCGGGAGATCGTCGTCTACTGACTGCTTGTACGTCGTGAGGACATGGCTCTTGAAAATTGCTACTTCATGACGTCTTCCCGGCTCGATGATCACTGAGAAGAAGGGACTGCAGTGGACGAATGTAAAGGGTGCATTTTTTACGCGGGTAAAATAAAAATCCTAATTTTGACAACTGATGTTGGGAGTGTGTTTATTATGCGAGTGCGTTCATTGCACGAGTAAATACGGTATAATGTGGAGTGAGTGAAGCAAACAGATGACATTGTAGAAAAAAAATGGCTGCACCAATCACAGCTGGTGCTCTCCACTTCGAATTTATTCAGCCGTCATTGTGCACTGTGTGACCCATAGGTTACCATTAGACGCTTTTGTTTTAAATTAATGTGCTGATGCATTAACAGCAATGTATTCGTGACTATGTATCTCGCACTGATTTCATGAACCTTTAACATGTTCTCAGCATATAGGCTTAGCAGGCATTGCTAAACAAAGAGCTGATTTTGCAAATGACGATGAATTGTACATGGCGCTTTGTCCTTAGCTGGAGATGGCTCAATGTGATGGCTGAATTCACCATTTATTTATTGCTGCCAGCACGGTGGGCAAGTAACAGGCGCAAGTTCGGATTGAAGCGGGCGGTCGTGTCTGCATTGGTGCTGGCACGTTACTGTTATTTGAAACCAGTTACCGTTGGTTACCGACACAGCAATTAGGCACTGTGGGAATTCAGGCTAGCCTATCGCCATTGTGTGGGCTTTGCCGCTGTTCTCATGTCCTAACATGACTCTCCCCTCTTCCGCAGTCTGTCGACGCTGGGGGAGCAGGTGTGACGTTGACCCCTTTCACTGGGATATCAACCTTAGCGCTCAAATCTCTCGGGACGTTTCACGCGCGCGCGCGTCGGGAATCAGGCAGACCTTTTCGGACATAGAAAGGTGAGCACACGTTTTCGTTCCCATCCGTCGGCTCCCTTTGTTTGGAGCTCGCTCGGACTTCGCCAATGGTGCCTCGCGTCCACAACAAACGCTTACCTTTCATTGCCCTTTTTGAACGCTAGGCCGAAGAATGGTGTGGTGTGTTCACGCACGGTCGTACTGTGCTGAATCGTGCTTCTCGAAGCCAACGTGATCGGAGTTTGCCCTCACTCGAACAATTGAGCCCTGCGGTTACAGATTGTGGGAGCATGCAGCATAGTCGCGAGGGCCCATGTCTCTCAGCGACATGTCACCGTGAATCCCTTTTGGCCACGAAGATAATCTCGTGGCGCCCATTATGTTGTACTTTTCGACCGTGGCATGGATAAGCTCTCCTTTGCTTTCCGGCCGCCTTTTACAAAGAGCACTGTACTGCGTGTTTGGTGTTGCCACAGGCAATAAAGGGTTGCGAGTTGTTTGAGAGCCGTACTGTGTACTTGCCACGCTGCGCTCGGCGCCTTGGCTGTTCGAACGCTAAGACCGAACCAACGCCAGTGGCCAGAAGTACGGCCACTGGCACAGAAGTACGGCCACTGGCGTTTTGTCCTGTGCTGTAGTGTGCTGTGCACACTACAGCACAAGACAAAACGCCAGTGGCCGTACTTCTGTGGGATACGCTGTACACTACAGCACAAGACATAAATGCGAACAGGAATAAACATATCATGCACCGATATGATGTAGCACATGCCAAACAAGGGGAAATGTGTCAACCTTGCCAGTAATATTGTAATTATATATGAAAATATGTCTTGCCGCGCAAATGTGTGGCTTGCTTACATCCATAGCCTTGGTAGACCTGAACGGTGGTGGTGAGATGGAGTATAGATAACAGAGTGACAGTAGGATAAACAAAAAAATCTTTCTCAATTTGGGAAACATGCTACAGTCAATGTCTGATTTCTCGGACGCCCGAAATTCTAGACATGCCTGATTTCCCGGACTCATCTGTGACACAGTCAAGTTCCCCATAAAGTCCACGTATTTAAATTTCCGAAATATTGGATATTTATTACGTTCACCATTTAATTTTCCGGACATTCTATTGCTAACCGCTGACTCAAAGTTACTATCAGCACCGCCATTTTAGTTTTTTAGATGCGAAGCAGCTCTTTGACTAGTCTGTAACACTGTCCGTAAATGTCTCCGTGCCAACGTGCTGCATCACGCTCCCCTCGCCACAGGTGTTGGGGCGATGCCAAGTAGGTCGCACCTTCCCTCACAGTGCGCGGTGACGCCACTCTGTCACTCGCCTGCCACGCGCTCACTACCTACCACCTCTCTCTCGTTTCACCCTCTCTACCACTCGCAACGTTCGAGCGCACATCAAGTGAACACTTTTTCGGCTCATTTATCTGCGATAAAAAGGATGCCAGAAGGTGAAGCGCCTTCCCCGCCGAAGCATGCGCCGAAGCAATTTGGCCTAACCCGGCCGCCACCGATGATTCGAGGTTTCGCAGAGCCGATCGCGTTCGCGAATGGTGACACCGCGCCTGCAACACCGATGAGGTGCGAGCCAGAAAAGCTGAACGCAAGCGTTAGCAGTGGAAGAAACACAAACGAATTGCGAGTTAAGCACGCCAATCTCGTTCAGTAATGGAGACGGCGCGGGTAACACCGGCGAAAAGCAAGCCAAGGAAGCCTAGCACAAGCGTCTTCAACGCGTCAGCAACACTGAAGAGACGCGAACAAAGGAAGCTGAGCGAAAGCACCGAAAGCAAAAGTCCACACCGGTGAATCCCCGACATCGTCGTCATCGGGAACGTTTAGAAAGCAGTGCGCCCTCCGCCGAATCGCTGTGCGCAACGCTATTGCTTTGCATCCCGTGAGGGTTCCTTTTGGGAAATGTTAATTTTTTTCGGACTTTCGCGCTTCAGCTGCTGTGCCCTCGAAGTCGAAAATGACACTATCCAGTGTACACCAATCTATTGCCAGCCGTAGCTTAGGCCGCATGGTGCTGTAAAGCCTGTGCTGAAAATCTGTTGACCTATGATCTGCCATCGGCATGCTTGCGGACTCGTGGAAGGTCGGTACGCAGCACATTTTCCAGAACTGTTTTCACTACGCGAGCTTCATACTGAACATTGAGATGGCCGTCTTGCCCGGCGTATACAGCGTGTGCGACTTCCACCCGCGAATGTTGCCTTCTCCAATCTGCATGTTGCCAGTGTTTCAATTCCAGCCGAGATAACTATTGCGGTCTTCGCTGACACTGACAAAGACCTGGAGTTGTGTGCGGAATTGACCGATAATGAAATCACTCGTTAAGCTACGGAGGATTCCGACAAAACTGAGATTAAAAAGGCAGTGCCTACACAGCCAATGAGCTCGGAGTGAACACGAGCACTGACACTGTCATCGGCGTACTGACGTTAATTGAAATTGAGACAGACATCATCGCGGGCAAGTGGAACGCCGTGCAAATGAAAATAAGCTACTTTTTTTTCCGCCTACGTGTTTACAAGTGCGGTAGCACCGGCCACATTGGTATTTTTTTCTTTTCTTTCGTTTGGCTCTTTTCAGAGTCACCTAAACGATGCATTTGCTGAATTGCAATGAGAACCATGTGCTCCTGCCGCGACCTTCGTCAGCAAAAAATATCCATGAAGAAGTGTGTGTTCACTTGCGTTTGTTTTTCCAGACTGCCCGATTTTCCGGCCGTTTTCGTGCTCCCTTGAGGGTCCGGGAAACCGGACGTGGACTTCACAGGCACAAACCCAGTTCACCCACACATTACAAGGGCTCATAAGGGCATTTTGATTATGCGAACACTACTCACACGTGGAGGAGGGTCAGTGCACGGCTGGTGGGACATGCAGCGGATACACCTGCAGAATGCACCCGATGCCTCGTGCCTGCCCCTGGTGAAAGAGCAGGCGACTGCCTGGCCGCAGGCACTCGGGCTGACGTACAAACTTGAACAATAGCACCCCCCGATCGGTGACCCCAAGGCTGGCGCTGTTGCCCCCGCGCACACCCACCACCACTGCAGCCTGCTGTACATTGCCTGCACACACACGACAACGAAAATGTGGGCGAGTTCAGATACACAGCCTCATTTTTCTCACATCAGCAAATTGCTCTTTCACGGTACCAAAAATACCCCGCTTGCAGCGAGAAGACGCTTGGTGAGAAAGAAACTGCACATATTTTGATGGCGGAGACCTATGTAGTTCCTAATCGGTAAAAACAAACTGTTCTGTGAGGGGGCCACGCACTGAACATAACAAGTCTGAATGAATTCTGTGGAGACAATCACGCAAAAATACGATATACACATTTTGTTATTAGTGAAGCCACAGCCGATATTTCGACAGAAAATTTAAAAATAAAACTTTGAGCTTAATTTTCTCCTCTATTACTTAACTTATGATGGTGAAACTAAGGACATTCAAGTTCTCATAGTACATAGTGTCCTTTTAAAGGGGTACTGGCACTTTCTCAGTTGGTTTTTCTGTGTCATATTAAAAGTCAAGCCTTGAAGAACCTAGACAATGTATTGCTAATCGTGAGTGCACCTTAAAAAGGTAACTACGGTATGTTCTTAAAAGGTAGATTTAGTTCGACTGCACTCTGATGTCACTGCGCCCTATGAGCTTCTCGTCACGTGCCCTCGCAAGACATTGTCACGCGTTCGTGAGGTTGAAGAAGGCAGCCATTTGCAGGTTTCAGACGAAATTTTTTATTTCACTAAACCAGTGCCCAAAAAACGCAGTCAGACTACAAGCGATACACACTGTGCACTGAGGGTGGCGAACAGAGCGGCGGCTGTAAGTAAAACTGCCGAACGGTGAAGCGGACCGGCGTTTAAAATATGTGCTGTCCAAGATTCCAGTTGATTGATTGATTTGTGGGGTTTAACGTCCCAAAACCACCATTTGATTATGAGAGACGCCGTAGTGGAGGGCTCCGGAAATTTTTACCACCTGGGGTTCTTTAACGTGCACCCAAACCTGAGTACACGGGCCTACAACATTTCCGCCTCCAGTCCAAGATTCCAGTGTTATTGCTAGCGGCCACATAAGTTCCAGAACAAACTAATGTTCATGTTGTGCACATAATTACATCAGAAGGTTCTAAGACTCTGTAAATGGTTTCCAGACATTAGGGCACGGTTTTGCACAATGCAACAGTCTGACACGGAATGGGGTGATAACAACAAATGCCAGGCTTGCACAGAAGGCACAGCACAGTCACAGCGAAAGCTAGAAGAGTAGCCTTTCAGAGTCTTTTCTAAACACTCATTGGGTAACTGCTGCAAGTACACTTGCTTGATGCTCACTACGGCATAAATAATAAAAATTTAAAGGTAGTTGGCAGGCATTCGCTATGCTATTTTTCGTCATTCTTCTGAGAAGTGTGATATCCGCTAAGCACTTGCACAAATTTCGTGCCAATTGTTCATGAAGTGGCTAACGATGATGAGGATTTATGCCTGAAGTGGGTATGCGCCATAGTTAATAGCTGAACAAGAACAAGCTTTTGTAATGGGTTGGAGGTTAGGTAGTGTTTTGGGACCTATTCTCTTTCTAGTGTATATAAATGACATTGTCAGCTTTTTTGCAGATGACTGCATACTTTTTAAAACGATTACTGCTCCGAATGACCAGAAATGCCTGCAATCCAACCTTTGTGTTATTTCTAAGTGGTGTGAAGATTGGTCAATGAAATTAAATAGCGATAAATCAGTTGTCATGCATATAACAAATAAGAAAGACCTGTGAAGAAGAAGATGTGCCTGCAGCGACCAGCATCGCCAACGCCCGGCTCTCTCGTCTCGTGCTTCGGCTCGCTGCTGTGCCGGTCTCTGCTGGACGGTTCATCACGCTGTCTTGCCGTTGTCATTAACTACTAATAAACCTCTTCACATTTGGTGGAGGTGCTGTTTATCCCCGTCGCTGTACCCTGGAGCTGCGAAGCCGCACGCTACAGCCCATCATGACTAACAACGCCAACCCATCGGCGTCGTGGCCACTGTTCAACTGTCCCAGCCATCCTAGGCTACGGGACCCGAAGGTCTTCAGCGGTGCGGATGGGACCGACGTGGAAGACTGGCTCGACCTCTACGAGCTGGTGAGCGCCAATAACAAGTGGGATGAAGCCGACAAGCTGGGCCACGTCATATTTTATCTCACTGGCGTCGCAGAATTGTGGTTTAACAACCACAAACACAACATTCCCACATGGAGCGTCTTCAAGACGTCATGTGCCGAAGTGTTCGGTCGGCCGGCTGTCCGCAAGCAGTGAGCAGAACAGCGCTTGCGCATCAGATCTCAACAGACTGGAGAAAATTTTACCAGCTATATTGAGGATGTTGTCGACCTTTGTCGACGCGTGAATGACACCATGCCCGAGTCGGACAAGGTCAAACACATCCTGAAGGGCATCGACGATGGCGCTTTTCTAATGCTTTTGGCAAGGAATCCAAGCACAGTTTCTGAAGTCGTCAGCTTGTGTCAGAGCTACGACAAGTTCAAGAAGCAACACACTCTTACTCGGCAGCCTCAGCCTACTGGCGAGTCGCTGTCCAGTTTCGACTCCATGCCTGACAATTCACCATTGCTTCAGCAAGTCCGAGCCTTCGTCCATGAGGAAGTCGCCCGCTAACTTTCCCTAGTGCCCTTTACTCACGAGACCACCCCCGCCTACCTGCCCCGCTTCGCACTGCTATATCGGAAGAGGTTGCACAAGCTGTTCCTCTTGCGCACTACGAGCCACCTATATCTAGCCGTGGTCACTGCTCGGGTGTCGCACAGCCGGTAGGCGCTCCTGTCGCCTATCCGCCAGCCGTTCAGCCTGTGGCCGCGCCCCTAACCTATGCAGCGCAGCCTGTGGCTCTTACTGTCGCCTTTTTGCAAGAGATGCAGCCCGTAGCCGCGCCGCTCACATATGCAGACGCTGTACGTAGGCTCCCGCAACCACCCAACACCACGCGCTCACAGCCCGCACACCCAGCTTCTTATACTGCACCTTGGGCGGCAGCACCAGTCGCCAATCCCTGGAGGACGCCCGATAACCGACCGATTTGCTTCGCCTGCTTCACTCCCGGACACGTTGCTCGCTACTGCCGCCGTCGACCTCAGACGTTCGGCAACTCTGCCCGGTCGTCGCATCCCGGCAGCTAAGCCTTCGTCCAATACGGGCCGGTCTCGCCCCCTCGCTATGCCGCTACTGACCACCTTGACTTTCAGCCGCAACGCGCACCCTCTCCTCGTCGGCGATCGCCCTCCCCCATGCGTCGCCGGCCCGGACCCTCCGACCAGGAAAACTAAGCACCGCAGTTCAAGAAGCAAGAACTGCGCCAATTTCGAACTGTCTAAGCCCTCGCTCCTCTCCTGCTAACGTGGTCGCAGTCACTGTTGAAGGTTATTGTACTTTCGCCTTTATGTACACCGGCGCTGCTGTTTCTGTTATTGCCGCTAATCTTTGCCCTTTATTACGCAAAGTAACGACGCCATTTTCGGGACTGTCGCTTCACACTGCATGCGCACAGCAAGTAACGCCTCTCGCAGCCTGCACTGCAAGAGTCTCCATCGAAGGCATTCTTAACATCGTGAAGTTTATTGTTCTCCCTGCCTGTTCGCATGACGTCATCCTCGGGTGGAACTTCCTATCCCGCCATAATGCCGTCATAGACTGCGCACGCGCCGAAGTTGAGTTCTCACCCTTGTGTGATGTCCCATTACTGGACGCTCTTCATCAGCCGCCGAAGTTGCTCGTTCATGAAGATACCGATATTCCGCCTGGAAATTTCGCACTTGTTCCCATTTCATGCAACGCCTACACTGACGCTACAGTCCTTTTTATGCCTTCCGATATCTTCAAATGTCGTCGAGCTTTGCCGCTGCCTTTCGCAACAATTGACCTTGCCGCCGGAAGAAGCAACATGTTCGTAAGCAATCTGCTTTCCACACCTGTCACTTTGCTTGCGGGGGAATGTCTCGGCCGCGTGCAGGATCTCGACCCTACGTTTTTGGTTGCTGTCCCGGATGACTACTGCGACCACCCAAAAGCACTGTCGGCACTCGGGGAGTCGTCCAATGATACGTTTTCCAGCGCCATTGCCGACACACTCACTCCCACCGAACATGCCGACCACTGGATCTTCTGCATTAGTTCAGGACTTCTTTCGATGTGTCGCAACCTCAACTGGGCCGCACATCACAAGTCAAACATCATGTTGACACCGGCCTACACCAGCCACTGCATCAAACACCATACCGTGTCTCCGCTGAAGAGCGCCGCGTCATCAACGATCAAGTCGAAGATATGCTTCGTAGAGACGTCATTCGACCATCTCACAGTCCCTGGGCGTTTCCCGTCGTCCTGGTGCGTAAGGAAGACAGATCTATCCGATTTTGCGTGGACTATCGTCGTTTGAATAAGATAACCCGCAAGGACGTCTATCCTTTGCCGCGCATTGATGACGCCATTGACACCCTTCACGGAGCGGAATTTTTCTTGTCGCAAGATTTGCGGTCTGGCTACTGGCAGGTCCCAATGGCTGAAGCCGATCGCCAAAAAACGGCATTTATTACACCAGACAGACTATATGAATTTAACGTCATGCCCTTTGGGCTTTGTAACGCACCTGCCATGTTTGAACGTCTTATGGATAATACGCTACGTGGCCTCAAATGGAATATGTGCCTCTGTTACCTCGACGATGTCGTGGTTTTCTCCCATGACTTTTCTACGCACCTCGTTCGCCTCAGGCACGTTTTGACTTGTCTGACCAACGCTGGTCTGCAGCTCAACCTGAAAAAATGCCGCTTCGCTGCACGCGAGCTCGTCATCCTAAGCCACATCGTGTCCAAGCACGGCGTATTTCCTGACCCAGCAAAACTTCGAGCAGCCGCAGAATTTCCAAAGCCGACGACCATGAAAGAACTTCTCAGTTTTGTAGGCCTATGCTCCTATTTCCGGCGCTTTGTTCGCAATTTTGCATCTATCATGTCACCGCTAACCCAGCTTCTTCGCGGTGACGTGAACTTCTCCTCCTGGTCC